GAGCAGATGCTCTGCGAGCGTCTCTCACTTCTTGCCTCTCTTGCCTGGAGGACTGAAACCAGCCTGTCAGTGTGAGCGCACTCGCTGGAGCTACAACTGTTTGTGTGAGATCTGAATTTTGTCTAATTCCTACCTTAATATCTGTTCCCAACAGCTACTTGTGAAGACTCCAGCGGTAAATTTCATTCCATATCTCATAGCTTCAATAAGCAAAATTTTTTCCAGAAATGGTTGCTCTTTTTAGAGAGGCTGTTTTGCACCCTAGTGGATTGCTTCAGATTGTAACAAATTGCTGCTGCGTGTCCCTGGTCATCGCTCACATATGAGGGCAATACCTCAGGGGAGGAGGCTAGAGTGGGACCATGCCGTGATTCAAACATCAGATTCACCCTTTTTCCCCCTCCCCATTACCTGACAGTAGTTTTGTGAGAAGAAAAAAATACTATTGGAAATTTTAAAGACCTGGCATAAAATATTGACGGGTTTTCCAGGTGTCACCCAGGGGCAGCAGGCCTTGAGGTGTCTCTCAGTGCACACTGAGGAGTTCTTAACTGGCTGCAGCTTCTCGAGCACGCCTGATGTCTCCTGGCTGCCAGTCATCCTGACAAGGTGATGACTAACGGGGACAATTAGCTCCCTCCCCTAACATGCTGTCTGTCATGGCTATTTGAAAGGGAATTAGAACACGTTTCCCTAAGGAAACAGGTTGGCAAATGGGCTTGGGTATGTTAAAGCCTTAGGATAGCTTCATATTAACAAAATGTCAAAAAAAAATTTCCAATAAGGAGTAGGACCAAGTGATATCTGCTTTGTAAAATCCTAATTGATTCATGTTCGCATATTGAGAAATTCACCCTGCAGCCAACCTCCAATTCCATGCGAGTGAGCTGCAGAATTTCCATTAATGCCAAAGGGAGTATGATCCAGTTTTGTACTGTCCACCTGATAAAGAAACAAAAATAAAAGTTTATTTGTAAGTAAAAACTAATTAGGCTGCATAGGACAAGCTACAAAGAAGCAGCTGCCAGTAATTTAACTTGTTTTCATCTCTTTCAGAATCTTATTTCCAGTTTGTAGACAAACTGAGGCACATCTGGGTGTTAATTGTTCACTATCACCATTATCCAGCTGCTAATTATTAAAGCAAGTTAAAATTCTTCCTCAGTCAATGCCTGTAACTGAGCTAAAAGCAGCTGGCTGCATGGGCCTCGGCAGAATTTGCTTAATGATGGGAGAGGGCATGGAGCTGTAGATGTCCCTGCTCATTGTGAGGGGTTGGACTAGGTGGCCTCTAAGGACTCAAAGCTCAAAGGACTCCATGGCCCTGTGATAACCAGGCTGCTCCCCACGGTGACCAAGATGCAGTCAGACTGCAGCCCAAAAGTCGCCATGAAAAGTCCCATGGCTGATGCATGAGGGCACTGTCTGAGTGCTGGGAGGAAAGGGAACAGCACAATAGCCAGCTTCTTGAAGAACAGTGTGGTCCTTGTAGGGCACTGCTCTGATCTCATTTGAATGACAGCAGAGCAGCCTGCTCTCGACTTCAGGAAACACAAGTCTTTCAGATTCCATATCTAATAATAAGATTTTACCACTGACTTATTTGTTGACAGAAATTACTTAGAGTTAATATGTTCCCATTGCAGACCCTGGGGTCTCTTTGTTTATGCTGAATGTGAATGTATTCTAGCACATGAATTACTATCTCCCGCTTGCTGCTTGGGCGCCTCCAGAATAAGTAATACGCTGGCATAACTTTGCCATTTGTCAGCCAGCAGTCTGGTAGCACATTTGCTTGTCAATCTAATTTTAACCTTTTCTCATACGAGCACTTGGTATTACATGTAAATCAACCAGGCAGTCTGTCATTTGATAGGACACTATCTTCATAGTCTTCTAAACTATGTACTCTATCATATGCGTTCATTTTTAAAGTAGCAGAGGAAAATTAAAACTAATATATTACTTCTTGTTTCTTAATGCCAGAATGCCAGGAATCTCTTTATTACCACAATGGAAATAAATGATATGTCTAGGAGGGTTGTTCTGAAAGTGGGCATGGCCATGCATTCTGTGCTTTCTGAATTGGAAGGTCTGTCCTGAATGGTAAGTATTGCTGAACGCTGCATAGCGCACGGTCTATGTCTGCTCCCACTATTGCTGTAATTTGCAGGTAGGAATAAAAGAACAATGCAACTGATTAATTAAATATATATAAAAATAAATAATGACAATGTGGTTCCAATAAGTTTCTAGTTAAAATATTGATGCTGACTCCGAGAAAGAGAATGCAATTCATTCTGAAATATCAGTCAGTTCATTTCTTTTGATGATCTGTGTAAATCACATGAAAGGTTTCCTGGCATGTCCTTTAATTTGTGAGGTGTTCCAGAGATTGGTTTGGCTGTGAAAGCAGTATGTATGAAGTTACACATTAGCTGTTTCTCAGGGTTGTTGGAGCTATGCATCACTTCAACCTTCTTGGTTTTGTGTTTAAAAAATAAAAGATATTCTAGTCCATTTATAAAGTGTGATTCCATTCTGGCATTTTCAGATATTTTACTGTATAAAGAATGATTTGAAAAATGCAATTTTTCAGTAGTACTGGAATGGTTTGTGACATCTCCCAAAGCCTCAGTCCCACAAAACACCCATAGTCACTCACTGCATGGCACAACAGATAGATGTCTGAACAGTGATGAACATTTGGATAGATTTTGAATAATCTATATTTTCCTCATTCATTCTTTGAGGCTATTAATGCTGCCTTCCATTTCACTCAGGATTATGATAAAGTAATGCTAGACATATTTAATACCAGATTCTGCTCTGATGATTGGCAGCAGTGTACTCAACCTGGGGCAGACAGTGAAAGGTGATTTTTACCAAAGAGCAGAACTGAGGCCCATTTACTCCTGTCACATCACACACGCTCCTCCTCTGCCCACACTGTGTTGTGCTGTTGTTCCTTTACAGGCATTAGCATCCTTCCAGCCCATCCCCACTACCATGCCTCATTTCTGGCAACTTCTGTGTGGGGTATACACCCCAAAATTTGCCCTTATTGCTGTGAAGTTCTCTCATAGGCCGCGTCTCTGTTCAATGAGTAGTGTCTAATTATGTTCGCATGATCCCTACCACAGAGATCTGTTTCTGATTGAGGCAGTACTGTAATAGAAGTAATAACATATGAGCTGCTACCACCACCACCTCCCGCATCCTTTCCTATCTACAAATCGAGTGCAGGCAATATTTGCCCATCGAGAGCTAAAATTGTGTATGACTTCATTTAGCATGAATGTTGCCTGAATTCTCAGCCACAGATTAATTAAATATCTTTGGGAAGACAGGCCTGAGATATCTGGTTGTAACTTTGATCTCAGTACAGCTGAGAAGAATTGGTCCCAGAAAAGATTCAGGTAACTCCGTAAGTTAATTTTGCATAGTAGATTTATAAACAAAATAATCCTCTGTGCTCTGATGAAGTTCTCGTGGGGGTTTGTTGGATTTCCAGCTCCAGGTGTTCCAGGGACACATCTGGACAAAGTCCTATGGTTGGTGAAGGGAACGGCCACCAGCGGTGATGGCATTTGGTTTCATTGAGCTTGTCCAAAGTAACTTCAGATGTGATTTGTTTGTTGTATATGAGAGCCTCTGCTTTGCTACCACTGCTCTTGCAGCTGTGAGGCTCAGGGCAGTGTTTAGAACGAATGAATGTTCGTTATGAAGGAAAACAGTGCATTTCCAGGGATGGAGAACCTGCATTCTATTACAGTGAAAGTATTTTCAGGTCTTACTTACTGTTTGTGCATTAGGACATGTGTATTAACAAAATTCTTCTTCCCTTTCTACTTTCCATCATTGTTCATCTGCATGGATGCAGAAAAAAATGCTTTTTCCCTGATGTACATATCTAAGGATGAACACAGTTCTACTTCTTAGCTGTAAATTCTTCCAGGAGTCACAGGCAAAATTCAACTGTCTGTACCAGAAGGGCTCAGTCTTTCCGTGTCCCTTTCTTTTTTTCGTATCATTAAAAAACAAAACAAAACAACCTTAAATGCATTTTCATGTGCTGCTTGTGTGACAGCTCTAACGTTTACCCCCAGAGCCACTCACTGTCTTGATCCTGCTGATGGCCATTGCTTTCCTCACCTTGATTCAGCCCAGCCCTGGGAGACAGCAAGGCTCACTGTTACTGTTTGCAGCAACCTCTGTATTAAATTGGTTTAATAATCATAAGTGCCCCAACAGGCACTGTCAAGCTGAGCTGCTTGTACTTGAGTGCTGTACGGAAACTAACGAGATGGCATACATTCTGTCCCTGCACCTAGCATCCTACTTTCTTGGCTTTTATACCTCTCCTCCTGAAATCATTACAAAAAGTAAGGCGAAAAAAACCACGCATCTTGATTGTTATAGCGAAAGGAGGGTTTCAGGAGGTGCACCTAGGATGAGAGTACACTGATTTCAGTAAATAAAAATGCTATTGACAACAACAAACTCCATCAGTTGTAATGAATTATCTGATTCTAATGACCTATTGCAGCCTGGTTTGTGGCAGATGCTGCTTCGTGACATACCTTGCCAACGCCACGACTGATGGTGTCTGACTGAAGGCTGCTGACAGTCAGGGGTGGGCAGGAAGTGCCCACCACAGCACAGTGGGGTTTCTTGCTGTGTCCCTCCACATCCATGGTCTTTGGATGCTTCTGGCCTTCAAGTCAACTGTTGATGTACAAATTCAGGCACCAGTTATCTCCCCAGGGATGTATCAATAGAAAGCCTTAATAGAACAAGCTTAATAGAAAGCAAGTTCATAGGTAGTGTAGCAGAAATGCTAAGTCGTGGTCTGAACCAGTGATTGAGCACCTGGTGGGAAGGCAGGGCCAGCCCAGGGAAGCTCAGGTGCATGCAATGTGTTGAGTGACCAGGAGGGATGCAGCTAGGAACCACCCCTTCCCAGACCTCATTTAAGGCTTGGCAGTAGACAGGAGGGTATTTTGCTGGAGGTTCCTATTTACATGAGGCCTTCCAAAGGTAAGTAGATTTTCTTTTTTTCTTCTTTTGTTTTTCATTTGCTGCAGCAAAAGTCTTTGCTATCCTACTGTTACTTCTGTACTTTCCATCACATTATAGCATTGCAGGTGGCAAGTGTTACTGCTTCTCCTTAGTAAAATTTGCTCTCCACTGCTTTTTTCCGGCCTGTCATAATGGACTTTTCTCTTACAATGCAACTTAGCACTCTGTTTTGACGTTACTTGATACTGCTTTGGGTCTATGCCCAGTTCCCTAACGCTTTCCTGCCTCTTGTTCACTTGCCTTTTCCCTTCTCTCTGAACCACCTTAGCAGGTGCTGTTAGAGATGGCCTTCTACACCCCTCACACCACACCACAGGCTGCACTTAACAAAAAGCCATCTCGGGTCCAAAGAAATGTCTAGTTAAAGAGTAGATGCAAGCATAGGTCACACTACTACTAGAATAACCCCAGGAGCCCCCACAGCTTGCAGCAAAGGGCTTCTTTTCTTTCCACCTTTGGGTGTAATCCAGAACAGCTGTGCCCCAGGTATGTGGGGTGGCTGTTGAAGTCCTGCTTGGGGCTGGCAGAGGTCAGGTTTAGCTTTATGTATTGCAGTAGGGGGAGAGATGCAACAGCACTGATGGTGAGGGGTCTCTAACTCGTGCTGAGGCTTGTAGTGGAGCTCTGGAGCTTGCACTGGGGTCTGGACTAGCTCCTGACCTCAGCCTGCCTGTCCTCTGTTTGCTTTTCCTTTCTTTACACTGTTTCCTCTGTCTCTTTGTCCCTGCCCAGGGAAATGAGATGCACACCGGGGTGTTCCTGCTCCTACTGCCTGGTTTATAGGAAATAAATACTTTAAGAAAACACATGTGACCTGGCTGGAGACAGAATGTTTGGGAGACAGAAGCACTGACTTTCAGGACAAGAGTAAAATAGGATTACATGAACAAAAAAAAACTTCTAAAAATCAGAATAGCTTTAACATTGCTCACTATGCTAATGGGTTCATTATTACACAGAGATTGTGAATGGGACAATGAGACTTTTATTTTTTCCCTCGGGAGTGAGGCAAGAAAGTGGCTGCTTAAATCACTATTGACATTCAGCATGTGAATTCCAGTTTTGATTTTATGAATGGCTTCTATCATCACATCTTGTGCGGACTGTCTCATGCTCATTGTGCTGTGGGGTTAGACGCACTGTCACCATCCCTATAAATAGCTGCATTGGTTATGAAGGACTATCAGAGCCTCTTCTGAAAGAATAGGTCTTTTGACCGGTGGCATTTTAGGCCACTTTTCTTCAAACTTTCTAGACGAGATAACATGTTTTCCACTATGTGGATCCTAGAAGATGGTCAGTAATCCAAGTATTGATCTCTGAAATTCAGGCACCCAGTGAGTGTGAAGAGCACACGGGGAAAACCGAAGTTAGGAGTAATAGGACAGTGCATGCTTTCCAGAAGAAGCCTCAGCTGCAGGGCTGGCAAGGAGTAACGAACTGCTATGCACAGAAAGAGAAGCTCCCTGTGATCCAGCTGGAATCTGAGCTGCTGTGCAGAACTACTGCAGTGTTGGACAGGTCTGTTCTGCACCCAAAAATGCTCGAATGTACCAGGGGATGGGAGGTAAGCTGACACTGTTTTCTGTATCTTTGGTTTTGGACAAAGTAGGAGGTGATTGTGTATAGAAAATGGTTTGTTTTGGCTTCCAGCTGTTAGCCATCAGTGTGATCTGTACAACATGATGACAACCTTCGGGTAAATACTCAGTGCCCTCGGGGTAGGTTTGGAAGGGATGAATACTTTTAAGTTTTCAAAGAGTGGGGGGCTCTAAGGATAGAGGTGGTCCGGTCTGTACAACCTTACTTCTGTGAAGAAATGTACTGGAGATGCAGAAAGCACTGGTTCCCTGTCGGCCATGCAGACAGGGAAGATTTACAGCACAGAAGAGGTCAGATGTAGCACAGCACTGAATGATGGATAACAGGGCTTGCTGGGTGTCTTTGGCTATTAAAGGTAATAAATGCCTAGATATTTGGAGGGTTTCCTTACTATTAACAACCCATCTGGAATTCACACCCCACCTTCCACAACCTGGGAAGTTTCCAAGAGCGCATTTAGTCAGCAGAAGCACCCTTTGTGCAAACAGTGAGTGTGTACACAAAAAGATTGCTCTGGCAAAAGGAAAGAAATAGAGCAGTAAATTTAGGGATGTGACTAACTTTTTCCAGATAGGGGGGAAAGCACCACACTTGCCAGTTATCTCTTCTGTGCCTTTCCTCAGCTGTGGCTGGGGCCATCTGATGACTATTTCCCTTTCATTCCCAGCACAGTGCAGTCTGTCTGCTGTCAGCAGTTAATGAAGTCACTCGTGAGCCTCCATTCCCTGGGGAAAAGCACTTCTATGAATAGACCTGTTACTTGTCTCTGGTCGAGATGCTCCCAGTGCTCCTTTTGCTGTGCCACCATCTCTAACAATTGTGCCATTTCTAAACAATGGCCTGTCACTGTAGAGCTTTGGCAGTACAGGATGCCCTGAAAGTTCTTGATTCTGGCTCAGCTGTAGAGCTCTATGAATGCTTCTATGCTGTCCTCAGTGCCAGCTGTAAGTTTTGAAGTGCCACAAACTTAGCAAAAATGTGCAGGGAGAGGGACCGTCACCATGAGATGCTTCTTCCTTATATATCCTACAATAAGGAGGAAATCAAGCTTTTTGTTTATAAGAACAGAATATTTCCATCCTACGGAAATAGAAAGGGAAACTCTTGATCTGATGAGAAATGTTAGAGAACGTCACATATTTGCCCAGCTGAACTTGCATGTCTGGTAATGATTGTTTGTTTTTGTAAGGAATTGTATTGGTCTAGACAGAGGTGAGCTATGAAGGAAATATAACCAGTAGATATAAAGACAAAGGAGAGAAATAACCATGATTCATGATAAGATATTGTCCAAAGTACAGAAATATAAGGCCTTGTTGATACATATTACATTTTGTAGGGTCTTTGATTAGTGTCAGTGAAGGCAAGCAGAGTGTCACTGCTTTCAGTTTTCATGACTGAATGGTGTAGTTGAGATCTTAATCAAAATGATTTTACAGTTGGACACTCCATAAGAAAATCTAGCTAAGGAAGCCAGTAAGTGGTCAAAAAGAGAGGGACTTGGTAAAGTAGCACACTATTAGAACATTACCTATTCTTTGTTTAAACAGCATTTTTACATTCAATTTTTCTTTTAATACAAACTTCATGTTCTTAACAGACTCTTCCTATATCAAATTGTCAGACTTAGTTCTCATAGAGCTATGATGAGGTCTCCAATAAAATGCAACCGTCAGTTTCTTTTCACTGTGATCTAAATGTCTGCACTGTTCCTACATGAGCAGAGTCAGTTTGGTCTAATCTGAACCTTTATTCATGCTCCTCATCCTCCTGCTTATATAAAACCAAAACAACATTAACAGAAGCTCACCAAACTTGTTAGTCATACTTCTCATTTCATATTAATTCTGGATGGCTGAATAAGTTTGAGTGATTCATGACCTATGTTAAAATTTAATATCAGCCTTTAATGTGTTTGGCCTGACACATGGTGTGCCTTATAATATTGATATATCTAATCGACCCAGCACTCTGCATCAGCTTGTAGAAACATGCCATGGGAGGAAAATGACACAGTAGTCCGGGTCTACTTCTCTGTCAAAGCTTTAATTAAAGAATTCTCACTGTCTGCTAAGGGCTTTGGGGAATCTCAAAAGATGCCTGTACTGTTGTTTACAGCATTTTGTTTTGAAAGATAAGGAGGATAGGATGTCTCATAAATCAGACTTCTGTGACATGGTCAGCATCTCAACAGCATCCAGAATTCCTGTCTGAGTTGCTCTCTGGTATCGTGTATATTAAAAAATCCTGCAAATTAGTGCATCAGATTATTCCTGATGTGTTTTTAAGCACTTTCTTCCAGCACCAAGCAGAGCAGCTGCAGGGAGTTCAGCAGACCTGCGGAAACAGAGCAGCATTTCTCTCACAGTGGTTCTCATCCCTTTCTCAGAAATACTGAGGGGTAAACCTGAGGACAGAGTTTTCCTTTAGGGCTTGTTTCCCTTGTTGACACCAACTGCCTGAAGGCTGTGACAAGGCAGTGCTCAGCCATCTGCAAGCTTGTCAGCTGGGAGGTAGAGCTTGAACATAGTGGGGTTTCCTTTAGCACAAGCTGCTCCTGCATGAGCCCCTGCCAGAGCGTCCAGGAACAGTATTGCTGTGATAGAGCCTCCTGGCTACCTCTGCAGAGGTGTCTTATTAAGGCCATACAGGCATTGCTTTTTCTTAATAAAACAATGGGTTTTTTTCCCTGATTTTTCCTAAGGAAAAGCTTTTACCTTAGCAGAACCATCTAAAGTGTAGGAGTGAGTGCAGCTGCTGCTGTCCACCCTCTCCCCTAGGGCAAGAAAGCTACTTGTAGCAGCAATCCTTAGCAGCACCGGGGGTGTTTCCTGCCCTCTTCAGTCCCGCAATGTCATAATTGCATCAATTCCTCTGATTCAGTAGCAATGGATGATAAAACTACTGCCAACACCTCGGCTGGCTGTTTATAATCAGCTCCAGCAAGCTTTGCTTCCCCTCTGACCACTTCCTGGCTTCTGCATGTGCTTCCCTTGTGCTTGGCTGTTCTCTGCTCAGACACTCAGGCTTGGACTTGGAAATCCCCTGTTCCAAATGCTGAACTGTTGTGTTCTGGCAGCATTTACCTGTTGCTCTTGTAGAAATGAGGGCTCTCTGATGCCTGTACTGTTATTCAGGGTATTAATAGAAACCACAAGCTGAAAGGTTCTTAGCCACAGGCTACTTAGATGGGAGCTCGTGGTACTTCATCTGGGCCTGGGCTGATTTGGGATGCAAGATGGGGGCAGTTTGCCCTGAGCAATCCTCATCTCTACAGTGGTAGAATGAGCACAGTACCAGGATCATGAATAAAATAATCTGCTATGAAGAATGTAAGCCAAAGGTCAGGTCTTGAAAGATTAATTAATATGTAAATTCAGAAGCACTAGCTAAATCAGACTGTTGTTTCTTAACATTTAAGCATAACAAATAAAACTGAAAGAAGCAAAGAAGAGAAAAATACCACAGCAAGAATGGTAAGAATAGATCAGTAACACAAGAGAATTTACATAGTGAGTTGAGAATGAAGGAAAAAATAGTTTTTGTTACTTCATGTGGGCAAACTGAAGTTGAAGAAGACCTTGTGAACATAAGTGCTTTACCAACGATGTGGTGTTACATGGGTATCAAGAAGAGTGAGCAACAGGTTCTACAAACTCAATTGTTGTAGTTTGAATAAAAAACTGCAGTGACCTTGCTTTTCTGTAGGTTTTTAATCATAAATATTGATTAACTTTTTAAAAATGAGAGAGAAAATGATGGCATCACAGGGACAAGAAACCCGTACTTTCCGCAAGCTGTTCCTAGCACATTTGCTCTGCTGCTGGCTATTCATTGTATAATCTTGCTTGAAATTATTAACAGGTTTTTGGCTTGTAGGTCATCTTCTGTCCCATTTTTTTTTTCTTCAGCTTAACATGAAACAGACAGAAGTGGGATTTGTGGTTTTCTTGTGTGCAAGAAAGGTGGCGCGCTAGAGAACAAGATTGGAATAGCTATAACTTTGAATTTCACCAAATTAATTGAGACATAAAATTAACAGTGGCTAAGTTGTATAATTAATTTTCTTGCCCAGGTTTGTCCTGTGTAACAGGAAACAGCTGTGTCTGACTTTTGAAGTCTCTTTCCTATTGACTGTGTCTATAGAAAGCACAGAAAAAGGGGTTCCCCCTGAGCATGAGCCCAAGAGCTGCATTCCCTGCTCCCTGCAGTTTTGCCAGTAGCACACAGATGGCTCAGCACATTCTCTGGGCTCAGTCAGAGTTTAAGCTGCTGGAGTTCTTCCTTGGTCTCTCCTGTTCTTCTTGAATGTTACTGAGCACAGTGACTGATCCACAATTTAAAAAGGCATTCAGATGCCTTTTCCAAATTGCATTCAGCACCCTTTGTACAGGCATCAGTCTTGTTAGTCAGGAGTGCAAACTGCTCTTGAATTCGTTCTGAACCAGTTCTTCAGATGCTAACGCTACCAGTGTAGTCATTTCTAAAGCTTTCACTCTTCATGAATAAATGCTGGAAGATTTCTCCTCTGGAAGAAATTGCATAATCGACTGTCAGGTTTTGTCAGTAATGTTTCTGAAACATTTTGCAATCCATGCAGATTTTCATTTCTTTCTCTCATATCTCACATGGTAATTGTCAGGTTGATTAACATGCTTCACAAAATGACCCTGAGGTAGACTCCCCAGTGCCTCACGTGGTTGGGAGTGGGCACGGTGCTGACTTAAAGAGGTCCTGGTCCTTCACCAGGTCAGTGACATATGGGAAATCAAAAGAAAGAGTAAAGCTGGAAAAAATCGCATCATAACTGACTGCTGTATAATGAATTACTTGCAGCCATGACTCAGTGTCTGCATTCCTTCCCTAACACAACAATGTCTTGTAGGCTGGCTTTGAATGTTTTTGTTCGCATAGTTTCAGGTAATGGATAACTTCAAATGACTAAAAGCCCTCCAGGAGAATTGA